GCAGCACACTGCTACCACAACCTCTAGTCGCTTCGACCCTGGGCAAGAATGACCTTTGGTGCGCGGCCCCAGAGGAGGCCCTGGGGGACAACACCAGGCGCGCAAGCCGCTGCTGTCGCATCACATTCGGCTATCAAGGGGCCCCATTGCGCCAGCTCCAGAGGTCACCCCGGCGAGAAAGGTCCATCTCACGTGCAGCCGATTGCTTCGCGCCCCTGCTCCCCCGCCTGCTCCGCCCCGTCCCCCGACTACTTGTTGAGTATGTTCGACGACTCCTCCTGTCGAGGGCCATGCCCGACTTAACGATCGTGAGTGGGCACATCTCCCTGTCCACGATCCTTACGCCGATCGCTGCCGCTGTATCACATGATGGCATTCCCGCACAACCGATATAAAACATGCTGGTATCTCGAGCCCCATCTCCCCTTGGTGGGGGGCAGGTGTTCCACAAAGGCGTTGGTGCGTTTTCCGTACGGCATGCGGAACCCACTCCTGAACCAATGCGGCCAACTCGGCCAAACTATGTCTGCGAACGCCTCAGCAGACTGCCGGATTGTAGGCAACCCCGCACGTGCGCTGCCCCAGGAGATATCGAATCGCTGGGGATTGAGTTTGAAAATCAATTCGGCGACGAAAAGAGAGGGCTCTTACGCAAGATGGCATAGCGACCTTACTCCGCGGCTTACGCGGGCCGCCAGCACGGCACGCCACATTGGAAACGGGGACGCTTTCGCGCGAACTCACGAGGGCAGGTTACGCGCCAATTATGGGAAGACGAACCAGTGCGAGCGTTGCTTTACGATTCGCGATGACGTTACCAAGGAAACTCCCCCCCCACACACCTAATATCGTGATGGTCCGCGCCGGCGCCGTTTGGGAATGGCTGGAGGTAGCCAATTCCCAGGCGGCGCCAGCGCACATTGTGACATTGCCAACCCCATCGGTTCCCACTTCCCCACCCCCAGGTAACGCCCGATATCGCAAGGGATACAACATAAACGTGTTCCTTAGTTGCGCAACTCGGATAAATTAAGGGGCAAGCCGAAAGTGCAACCGTCAACACAATCGCGGGACAACCATAGGACGGGACAACCACGGAGCAACCGCACGGCACGACCGTAAGACAGCCGCGGGGCACTCGCAGGACGGCCGCGAGATCGCCCCGTGGGGAGCGCGCTGGGCGCGGGGCTGGCGACGAGATCTGCGGTGCACCCCGCTCGGCGGGGAATGCTCTCCCCTGCGCTGGCACACCTTTCCCTCGCTGGATGACAGAAGCACTGCGTGGACACAGCCTCTCGGAGGTCACCGCGGATCTCTTGGATCGGCGCTGTGCAGCCCCCGGCGGCGCCTCCAGCGCGGCCCGCGGCGCGCCCCGCGCGCCAGCGAGAGGGGTCCCGCACCGAGGCCAGGGATTCGCGCGGACCGCCGAGAAGTTCTGCTTCTGCCGCACTTGGTGCCCGCCTCGCCCGCATGCACGATGCGAACCGAAGCTCGAACCACCGCCGCGGTGGGGAGGGCTCTCTGTGTCACTTCGGCCTCACTCGCAGACCTCCGATCTTACTCCCGATCTAGGTGTCCTGCCATCCTGCCATCAGATTACGCGATCCACAAGTGCCAATCTGATTAACCGATGATACCATGAAGATGTCAAAAAGCAAGATATGCTAGCAAACAATGTTCCAAACTTCAGCTATGTAGCAACCGACATATCATAGCGTAGGATCACGCTGTTTGACCGACGATGTACCTGTCACAGTGCCAAAGGTAAGACAAATCCACCTGACGCTCGCATTCGCATATAAATGCACGAACAAAAACAATGGGACAACCACGGGACAATTAAAAGGATAACCACACGGGAAAGACGCGGAACCATCGCACATAATATAGACATTAGGCACGGGATAGTGAAGGCCCGACCAAGGACAACCTAGTCCATCCCAGTGGAGATGGCCTGACGTACATGCAGCGTACGGACCTCGATCGCACACGCACAACATCGCCTCGCCATCGCGCGCGGCACAATCCGAGACTGAAACCAACAGGTCCCTATACTTGGGCACAATTCTGACGTTCCCTGACTACACCCCGAAATCACGCATGCCAGATACTGAACAGCGTGGTTTCGAATGCCAATCTCCCTCGCTCCAGTGCTTCTTGCTCCCCTCCCAACCATTTCCATATCCTCTCCCCCTCCCTGTGTTGCTCTATCTCTCCATCTGCCTCTCTCTCTCTCTCTTTCTTTCTCTGTCTCTGTGTCTCTTTCTCTTTGTTTGTTTGTTCTCTCTCTCTCTCTCGCGCGCACTCTCATTTGTGTTTTCCCTCTCTCTCTCTCTTTCTATCTCTCTCGCTCTCCCTCTCTCCCTCTCTTTCGCTCCATATATGTGCATATACTGAGGAATGACTTCCATGTTCTTTGTATATTTCTATAACGAGATGGACTCGCGCTGCGTTTGTACATCAGGCCATCCTTGGCACCAGTTGGCCGCGGAGCCATGTGTAACATAACAACCTCCCCCCACCCCGCCCCTGTCGCAGCCAGCGCAAAGGGCAGGGCGCACATTCTGGCGCTTGGAGAAAAAGAGGACGTTCTCGGGCTTGATGTCCCGGTGCACGATACCTTCGGCGGCGTGGCATTCGCTCGCTCGCCCAGCGCTTCCCGTTTGACAAGAACGCACGTGGTTTGCATGCTGGTGCCGCGCCCCCGGCCGTCGGACTGACCCCGATAGCGACAGCTTCGTTAGAGCTGCCCGCGCTCTCGCCCCCCCCCCAACGCCTTCCCCCCCTCCCCCCTGCCCCTCTCCTTCCTCGCTTCTGCCACGGGGACCGCTGCGCGCTGGTGCATTGGGCCCGGCGTCACGTCTCCGTCTCAGCAAAAATGACTTCGGCCCCGAAGTCGACGGATTTCTGCGGGCGACAAACACCGCGCCCTCCCCCTCACTCTTATCAGCGATTGCGGGGAGCGACGCATCTTGATACACCAAGCCGACATGTACGCCACCGAAGCCTGTCCACTGGCTTATGTGCAAACCCAAGCTGTATGGCGCAGACGACTGCGCGCTGTAGTGGCCAATTCTTCTGACCTGCCGCCCAAACAAGAGCACGATCAACCTGTGGCAGAATGCCAATCCGCGGTGGTGCATGTGCATGCGGGCACAAGTTATCGATGTCGGCGCTGCTCGCAGGGGCAAGGGAGGGAAACGCGAGGGTTGGGGGCTCCTCTGGGTCCCCAGATTTGGCCGAAATCGGCGCGTCCCTCCAGAACTCCAATCGCAGCATCCAAAATGAACCAGATCGGCAGAACTTTCGGCCAGCGCCCAAGCACATATGGGGCGGGCCACTGGCTGGAAGAGGAAGGGCCTGAGACCTGAGGCCGAGAGCGCCTTTTCTGCAGTCCTCGCACATGGGGTCCGAGTAGATGGGGTCGGAGGAGTGCGCCGCATCGCCGACGCATCGCCGATGATGCATCGTCGACGTCGGCGGTGCATCGGCAACGGCTTTGTGAAGACAATTTGGCCCCACATCGGCGAGGTGGCGTGATCCTCCGATCCCTTCTACGCTTGACCCCAATCTGGGTTGGAGGCGACGGAGGGGTCTGAACTGGTTGGGTCCCTACAAAATAGAAAATGTGTCAAGAGTGGGGGAGGAAACCAGATCATCAAAACCGGTCTCCGGACCCCTCCTGGGGTCGATCTGATGCAATTCTGAATATGTGTATGTACTTTCCGCGATAGCGGCCGTCACCGGCCCCGCCCCGTCCTCCCACCCCAGGTGACGTCACGTTTCGCGCCAGCCGCGTCCGGGGAATGCCTAGGGATGAACGGGCCAAATAGGAGCAGCATGTAGGTGGCTTTGTACACCACAGTCGCCGCGTGCACCACAGCGCGCGTGTACACTACAGTGCCTGCGTACACCGCAACAGCCGTGTGAAACGCAGCGCCTGTGCACACCACAATGCCTGTGTGCACCACAGCACCTGTGTACACCACAACGAATGTGTAAACCGCAGCAGCCGTCTGCAGCACACCGGCTTTGTACACCACAGCGCACATGTACACCACAGCATCCGCATGTAACACAGCGCTGGTCTACTCCAAATTCCTGCGGACTTGCTGCGGACAGCTCAACACCACAAAAGGGGATTGCTGACAATATGATGCAACCGGATTCCCTCCTCCCTCCTCCCTCCTCCTCCTCCTCCTCCTTCCCCTTCTTCTCCACCTCCTCCCTGACCCTTTTCCCGTCGTGCGCGTCGGCGCTACAGCGCACGTGCGCATCTCAGTGTGCATTCCGGAAACATGGCCTGATCAATCCGTCCACTTGGTTCTCGGACGGCCAACTCTGCGGGAGCCTTCTGAGCGCAGAGGGGAGGTGTTAGGGTCATGCGGGAGGGCTCGGGAGAACTGGTAGATTCCAGAAGCGCTGCTTCGTTCCAACTCCCATCTGCAAAGAAATTCTCGCACAATCCAAAAGCGCTCCACATTCCCAAACGCCGCTGGCCCAAAATGTGACGTCACCGGCCCCCTCCCCCCCCCCCACACCCGGTGACGCTTGTCATCGCCCAGGAAAAAGAAAACAGGCTCTTCGAAACCCAGATCAACTATTCAATACCCAGGGGCCCGAAAGCGACCCCCAGAGGCCAAACAAGACACACAAAAAACCCTCCGAACCCGGAACCAGTGCTGGCCCACCTCATGCAGCCCCCACACGGCCCCCAATCTAGTCGTGACTCCACCTGGGAGGCCTAGAGGGACAGGTAGGGCCTGAGACCTGAGGCCGAGGCCGCCTTTTCCTCTCCCGCGGCTCGTCGGCTACACGCAAGAGTAACCCTAGGCAAGAGTGACCTTTAGTGCGCGGACTAAGGGGGCGCAAGGTGGCCAAATCCAAGCACGCAAACAGCCACTATAGCATGGCGCTCAGCGATCGGGGGGACCCGGATGAGCCCGCACCAAAGGTCACTCCGGCGAAGGGTCACTCTTACGTGTAGTCGAGCTCGGCGCCCGCATTTCTGGCGTCTCCCGGCCCGCGGCCGGGGTCGGAGGCCCAGCTGTGCCGCGACGCTGGCGGCTCCAGCGGGCGCTCCGCGGCCGGGGAGGGGTGGGAGGGGTGGTGGTGGGGGGAGGGCGGGGTGAGGACGGGGGAGGGGGGGTGCTTGGGACGATCGCCGTGGCTTGGATGTTTCTCCTCTTCCTCCTCCTCCTCCTCCTCCTTCTCCTCCTCCTCCTATTCCTCCTCCTCCTCCTCCTCAAAGGCCCTGCACCCTTGGAAAGGGGAACCATCGCCTGGCTTTGCTCTTCTTCGCCCGCTCCGCCATCGCCCGACTGGGGTTGGCAGAGCACGCCTCCGGGGCGAGTCGCCCGGCGAAGGGTCTCGCCAGCGGTGCGTTCCAGTGGCATCGGCGGGGGAATGAGGAGGACGAGAAGGAAATGGAGGGGGGGACGAGGAGCCGAGGGGGAAGGACGGGGAGGGGACAGTGAGGAGAGGGAACCGTGGGAGTGGGTGGGGGCATGGGCCTGGGGGGACGGAGGAGGATGAGGAGGAGGAGGCGGAGGAGGAGGAGGAGGAGGAGGAGGAGGGGAAGGGAAAGACGGGGAGAATGGGGAGACAGAAGGAAGGAGGGGCGGGGGCGGGGGCGGAGGCGGAGGAAAAGGAGGGGAAGGAAGGCCGGGGGAGGGGGAATGAGGGGGGGGAAGATGGTAGGGGGGATAGGAAAGGGAAACGCAGGGAGGGGCTGCGGGGGAAGAGGGTTGAGGAGGAGGGATCTAGAGCAGGGGGAAGGCGAGGAGGGAGGGCGAGGAGGACGGCGGACGGAGAACGGGGGGCCGTGGAGGGAGGACGTATGGAGAAAGGCAGATGGTGAAATGCGGATGGAGAAAGGCGGACCACGGAAGGAGGAAGGCGGATGGAAAAGGGGGGATGGAGAAAGGGGAACCGCGGATGGGGAAACGCGCATGGAGAAAGGGGAACCGCGGATAGGGAAATGCGGATGGAGAAAGGGGGACCGCGGATGGCGAAGGCGAACAGATAAAGGTAGCGATGGGAGAACAACATAATGTTTAACCTGCTCGGCGGCTGTATCGGAGGCAATCGAATACGATCGTGGGAGGACGGGATCGTTGGCTTCCGGAGGTTTCCGAAGAAGCAGGGATAATGCAGGATGAGGATGCAGGATTACGATGATGATGAGGAATGGAATGATGATTGGGGGAAAGCGGGGGTCAAGGACGGAGGACGGAGGCGGGAAGAGGACAGAATGACGCAGGAGGGAACTCGGAGGAGGAAGGACTGTGAATGGCTAAAGGCGGTGGAAACAGGACGCATGGACGAAGACGCAAGACGGGGGGGGCACGGACGCAAGATGACACAGAGGAAGAAGGCGGCATGTGAGGGAGAAAAGCGACAGTGAGGATGACTGGGAACCGGAAACTGTGGAGGGGGACGGTGGAGGAGCCAAACAAACAGGAGGATGCTGAGGAACGAGGGAGGATTGAGGAGCCATGACGGAAGACGACGAAGGAGGAAGGGCGAGAAAGGAAGACGGGCGAGCAGGAGAGGCGGGAAAGCTGCCGACCCTCTTGCGCAGCGGCCTCTCGGGGGCGGGGGCTCGTCTTCCTGCGTCTCTCACGCGTCCTCCGGTTCCGCCTCGCGGGGGGAAGGGGAGGAGGAGGGATGAGGAAGAAGAACGACAACATATTCAACCGCCGTGGCAAATCCTTCAACCGATTCACAGCTGCATCCTCAGAAGATAAAGCAGCGCAATTCCGTGACTTTGAGCAACTCTGGCCATACCTGCCATGGTCAATGCTGATACTTGCAGCGGTCTCGGCGAAATTCGAAACCCATGGTGATCAGGAGCGAAACAATGAATGTGGTTGCTTCTGCTGGCCGCATGAGACCAGACCCACGCTCCCTAATCACATTACCGCATCGCCTGAACGTAGCACGCTCTATGATGTGTTTCTCTTGTGGTGGACTTTGAATCTCGTCAACCACGCGTTCCAAAATAATGTCCAGAACTTCGTTTGAATCATCACGGAAACGAGACCTGGGGATGGCTCTTGGTAACTATTTGCAAGTGTGCTTCAAAAGACATCGGCTGCGACCTTCTGCATTTTGCAGATGAGTTCGTTCTTGTGGAACGACCGATGCGTTGGCCTGGCCAATGCTTGGAAACTGAATCAATGAAGAACACAAACCCGAAAACGGGAAACGGCACCCAACAACCTGATTAAGGCTATGCCAGAAACTGAAGAAACCGAGAACGGCAAACAAACAAATAATTTGAACATGAGGCGGAATGACGGCCCGATCACTGGATCGAAATCGGAGAACGGACATGCCCTTCAACAATACAAAAAAAAATGACCGAAAAAGAAAGAAAACAAACGGAACACGGTGAGAGCAAAGAGAACGGATGTCCAAACGAGAAAATGGAAAAAAAGGCTCCTAACGGTCGGGTGGGGCGGCGGACACTGGCAAAAAACAGAAAGGCACCTCCGCAGGAGCAGGTTTTATGGCTTAGGGGCATAGCTAGCTCTAGTAGGACCCCATCGCCGCTGACACACATGTGAGAGGAAGAGAATTATCGTGTCGGGAGGAGGGGGTTGGGAGATTGCAGAGCAGAAGCAATAGCATCTGGATGCAATAAGCGATACCTTCGGCCACCTGCGTCTAGCGAAGGGGAAACGGATTGTAACCGCAGCACATGGGCTGCCAATCCAACGCCGCGTACGCTTCCGAACGAGCGAATTGCAACCTGCAGACTACTTCGTGGCCCTTTCGGAGCCATCTTGGATCCCTGGGAACTTCCCAGGACGCAGATTGCACCCTGCAGCCCTCTTTGAGGCCTGCCGAAGCCTTCGGGTGGACCGTCCAAGAGCCCTCTTGTATGTGTTCCGGGCCCCTTGCCTGGGCCATCTTGGACCATGTTGAAGCGACGCGGCGGACACTGGGGATGGACTAAGGGCATGAACAATGCGGGGGTGTCTGGCAATGCCCAATAAATCGTGAACTCTGCATCGGGTTGCGTATTGCGATCCGCTACGGATGCGGAATTCACAAATGATTCTCCCCGTGCCCATCCAAATTTTGGGAAGTCGCGGGGCAGCAGCAAGTTCCGCATTGCGTTCCGTTCGTGGTGTGGAGATGGTGACGATTTCCGTATTATGTCCCATTCGCGACACGGAATCACGACTGCATTGGTCCTTTTCCGTTGTTCATGGGTTGCGCCACGACTTCTGCATGAGCCGTCAGCACCAGCGGTGCAGCATCGCTGCCGATCGGACTCCAATGATCCATATGTAATGCCGAAATATACAGGCCCAGTTATTGAGGCATTGATGCGCAAAGCATGGTTGTGCAGGAGGTTCAGCTGACGGTGAAAGAGAGACGCGTAAATGCGATGACCAGGAACGTTGTTTCCAGCGAGATGGAAAAAAGGAACCCAAAACCAGTTCAAACATAACTGCCAGCGCAATGGGCAGGCAATTCAAGCTGCAGGGGCTTCGAAGGATGCGACGGTCAATGGCAGTGAACACTCCTGCGAACTAGCTACCTATACGACCACCCTTCGGGTGACAAGCACGTTGTGGAGGGTGGGGGGGAGAGGGGGAGGAAGCAACATCGGATTCAATCGATCTCACTATCGATCTCACTCAACGGGACACCACGGGACACTTGTCGATCTCACTATCGATCTCACGATCGATCTCACACAACGGGACACCATGGGACAACACGGGACACCACGGGACACCGCGGGAAACCTCTCGGTCTCACTATCGGTCTCACTATCGATATCACGATCGATCTCACTCAACCGGACACCACGGGACACCACGGGACACAACGGGGCACCTCGGGACATCACATCGATCTCACTATCGATCTCAATATCGATCTCACTCAACGGGACACCACGTGACACCACGGGACACCTGTCGATCTCACTATCGATCTCACTCAACGGGACACCACGGGACACCTCAGGGCACCACATCGATCTCAGTATCGATCTCACGATCGATCTCTCTCAACGGGACACTACGTGACACCACGGGACATCGCTAGGGCCACCGCTGGAAGGACGGACGGAGGAGAAACATTTGTCTCGAATTCGCTCTAACAACGGCGGGTTCATGTCTCTCGCGCGCCCACGCAGCTTCGCACCGCCCGCACGCACGACTTGAACGAAACGAAACGATTCCCCGTCTGGGGGTCTCCGTTCCGCTGCGATCTCGCCCCCACGCCTCCGACCTTCAACATACGTGGTGCTACAGATGGCATGATCATTTCTCCCAACCCCCTCCTCCCAACCCGATAGTTGTCTCTCGGAAGGAAGAAATCTGCAACACATAACATTCTGGGGTCTGAGAACGATAGAAATCGCCACCGTCCTCCAGGCAGCGGGCCTGGAAAACCAAGAATCGCGGGCCAGAGCACCCATGTATAGAGGTGGATGTTCTCGACCGGTGGTGCTGCGAGCTGTGTGTGCTGCAGTAGTGCTGTTTTTAATCTGCCCAATTTTGTGATATCGCGTGCTAGCCTGAGCCCACATTGGTCGATTCTCGTTCAAAATTACATCGTGATTTCGAGAAGCCATACGTTATCATCTTTCCACCGCATCTTGGCCATCCTGCCTGCGAAACGCTTGTCGGCGGTGGTGCCTGTCCGGCTCGCATGACGCAACAATGGTACAATCCGCCGCAGTGCAGTAGGCACAGAATTCAATCGCCAGCACGCAAGAAGTGATTGCCCCGCCGCCATCACTTCCAACCCCACCTGTTGCCAGACACGAGCCAGCAAGCTCTGAAAGAGCTTTACGTCGACAACGTGATGCGCACCAGATGCGAGCTGGCACGCGCTCGGAAGGATATAATGGCACAAGAGCTGGCGATGCATAGGTGGGAGGTGGACCACGTGTAAGCAACGGCGTACTCAGACCGCCGACGCCCTGGGTGTTTCACGGCTCTAGCGTCAGAGGGCCCTCGACCCCAATCCTGGGGACTTCCTCTTCGTCACGGATCGTGTCCTGATGGGTGACAACCCAGAATGCACGGACATCAGAAAAACAAAATCAGGGTAACAACAAACGCGAACCCAAAACATTGAACAAATGGGGCTGGGATCGAAGCGCGCCTGCGCAGGATCAAGCGCAGGCACTCTGCGCCAGCCATTATCACCCTTTCACTGTCTTCATCTATCTTTTTCTCTTTCTATCTCTCTCTCATTCTCTATCTCTCTCTGTCTCTCCCCCTCTCTCTTCATTCACATTTACATATACAGGTATACGCAAGGGTATATCAATAGGTCGGCTGTGTGATATACTGCTTCCTGACACGTTATGAACAGTACGTGTGTGTTTGTCACATGTTCCGATCTTCATATGTTTATAGATAGGTATGTCTGTAGATGTCCATCTGAGCTACTGGTCGCAACGAGAATGCAACATGTACGTTTGTTTGTAAATGTGTGGAAAATACATCGCGCGCTGTGTATGCATGTCTCCTGCTTTCTGCTCTGCCCCTTTCTCCGTTTATCCCCCCTTTCTCCCCCTCTCTGTCCATATATGGCTCTCTCTCTCTATATATCTATATTTATGTATCGCTTCCTCCCTCTCTCACCCCCCCATGTTCTGCATTATGCGTAGATCTATCCAACGTGACCTCTCTCTCTCTCTCGCTCTCTATTGCGAACATGTTCGATCTCCACCTGCCCTCTCATATCGCGCTGCTCTCCCGCATCCACTATAATATATATATATATATATACATATATATATACATATGTATACACATATATATATAAAAATATAAATATTTATATAAATATATATATATATATGTGATGTGTCCTCCCCCGCCCCGCCCCAGCAGAGAAAGGACGAACAAAAAAAAGAGAGAGGATCGCAGCCTTGCAGGGGCAGGGTCCGCCCCTCTCGCGGACGGGCCGCATAGCCGAGGATGCGTGCGCGCAGGAAGCAGGCAACGCGGCGCAGAGGGATGCAAAGGCCGTGCACACGGCAGACCAAAAGGGGTGGGGGAACAAAACCAAGGAGTATGAGGAGCGATCCCAAACCGCCCCCCTGCGACTGCCTTCGGGACAGGCCCCCCAAAACAATCCGCCAACCATAGCGAAACCGCACGGTCCCAGGCGGGGGGCAATGTCAGCGATCCATGGGCGATTGGTGGCCCGATGCGTCCCTCGTGGGCCCACTAGAAATCCTCCGATAACCACAAAGGGGGGATATAAATTTTTGAAGCGGATGGACCTCGTAGTTACGAAAATACGGTGCGCGGACGCATGGTGTACGGAATGGTGTGGTGGTAACGCTACTAATAAAACGAGTCGTAACATCAGCAATGGCAGTAGCAGCAGTAGTTGGAATCATCCTCCCAAGGGCAATGGCGAAGGTGGCGGCACCCGTGAGAAAACACCCCATACGAAATCAACAATAGTAGCAATAGGAGTGGAAGTAGTAGTAGTAGTAGTAGTAGTAGTAGTAGTAGTAGTAGTAGTCGTAGTAGTGATAGTAGAACTAGTACTAGTACTAGTACTGGTACTAGTAGTAGTGATAGTACTGGTGGTGATAGTAGTAATAGTAATAGTAGTAGTAGTAGTAGTAGTAGTAGTAGTAGTAGTAG